ACTTATATATATATATATATATATATAGTGCATCCATCTTCTAATCTTTCTCTGCTCGTCACCTTTCCTATTTCAGGTTCTAATACTCGTTAACTTTTCCTTGTATTTCTGTAACTTGCCAAAATTAGTAAAATATTAAGCCTTCACCATTATATAATAGATTTGTTTATTTTCCTTTTTATTTAACAGATCCAGAAGAAACAAAAACATGGCTTCTAGGCTTAATAATGAGGTATCAACTTTCAACTTTTTACAGTATAGTATGTTATTAATTTATTAAGTCTTGTGTGAAAGAGCTACATTATTATCTTCAATTTGCTTCCTTTATATACAAAGTATACAAACAACCTTCTCTTGAAATCAAACACTTTTTTTTAAAAGAAATAACAAAATAGATCTAATTAGCATATTGTAGAGTTGCTCAAAATTAATAAATATTTAGATCTCAAGTACTGTTTTATTTATCTTGTCAGATCCAATAATTTTCATAAAGGAAAAAGAAATAGATTGTGTAATATAGTTCTTAAATTATTATTAAGTACTTCAAAATATAATACCAACATCCTTCATTCTTTCTTACTCTAACCTGAGCCATCTGACATATATATTGCCATTATTATAAATTAAATCATATATATTATATTATGTTAGAGGATATTTGTTATCCATTTTCCATTGAACGTGGTATTTATATAAAATTTTAGAAGATTAGAAATGTAAAGTTTGTCATATATAAATGAATATTGTTGGAAGTATTTAAAAGTAAATTACGTATGCATGTATAATTGTAGGGATTAGTAAGTTGCAAAATATATGTTAAATGTTAAAATTATTTAAAGTTGAAAGAAAAAAGAAAAAGAAATTTAAAGGAAAAGGAACTAGTACAAGTACAACTAGACCTGCCATGTTTAGTCAGGGGTTGTACTAAGAAAATACTCCCTCCGTTTCAAAAATAATGTCATAGTTTGATTTGGAACGAAGTTTAAAAAAAGAAAGAAAACTTTTAAATCTTGTGGTTCAAAATTAAAGTTATGTCAAATGTACCAAAATGCCTTTTAATCTTGTGGCCTTAAACATGTCATGTGGAAAGTTGAAGTTAAAGTGTTACCAAAAAAGAAAGGGATCATTCTTTTTTAAATAGACTAAAAAGAAAATGAGGTCATTTTTTCTTTAAACGGATGGAGCAGTAGAAATTATTGAAGGTTATATCAAAAAGATTGAAATTCACCAAACCCATTTTTGTTTACTTTACCCTCCCTTGTCTTTTACATCCACAACTCACAAAAATATGGTTCCGTTTTCAAAATATTAATTAGTTCAATTTTTGATGTAATTAAATTTTAGAAAATAATGATTTACATATTTTTAAATTTCAATCACAACTCACAAAATCCAAGGCATTGCCCACATCTAAGTTGTTCAAGACTCTAATTATCACTATACAACTTCAACAACAATATAACAAGATATTAAGCTATGATGAGTCACTATTTCTTAGGAATGACAATTTTAGTCCTTTTGATTTCGGAATTAGATTTTTGTTTCGATAGTTTTAAATTTGGGTTTGGGTTCGATACACTTTCGATTGAGTTAGTATTATTAGAGTGTAGGGACTAGTCGCTAGTGTAATTAAATTTAAATTTTTGACTTAACCAAATTAAATTTAATTTGTTAAAAATCGAAAATTGAATCAAATAATTGAAATTTTAAATTTTGAAACTGAAATCGACCATATAAATCAAATACCAAAATTTAAATTAAAATAAATTCAATTCGATTCGATTTGAACCGGTATATATCCAGCCCTAATTGTGAGAGGAAAAGGGTGTTCAGCCTATCCCCCTTACCCTGTTGGGTCTTAAATGATCGAGTTAGAAAATATGAAAATTTTGGAGCCCCAAATGTTTGACCATGAAAATAAAAAATAATCAATTTATTTGCATTTTCAAAGTTGGAGTTGGAGTTGAAGTTTGAGTTGTATTTGGTCATAGTTTGTGTAGTTAATATTTAGAATTTAAATGTATTTTTTTTAAAAAATTATTAAATATTATTTGAACATGGAATATAATTCAAATGAGGTTATATTATGGATTTTTTTTTTTTTTTAAAACACAAAAAAATAAAAATAAAATGAAAACAAGGTTTTGGATGTTTTCCAAATTACAAATACAACTTGTAGTTGTATTTGTATTTGAAATTTTTGGAATAAAATTAAATAATTTTCTTGGAAAAAGTAAAAATTTCTCATGGTCAATATATTATGTATTGTTTTTATACGGTTCATAATCAAATCTCCTTTCAACCGTGTTAAGACTACTATGTATAGGTTACAAAGTAATGCATCAATAAATAAAGAAGTTTTACTTGAGTCCTAAAATACTATAGGATCAATGGTTCGCGTCCTCATGAAAATACCGATGATTGCGCCAATTAATATTCCTCTGTCGCAGACATGTATATATTAAATGATCATATATAATGTATTTGTCTTTTTGTCCTTTTGCCATGTCACTGCGACACAAGTCCTACATACTGTTCATAATCAAAATCTCCTTTCAATCGTGTTAAGGCTACTATGTATAGGTTACAAAGTAATGCATCAATAAATAAAAAAGTTTTACTCGAGCCCTAAAATACTAGGATCAATGATTTGCATCCTCATAAAAATACCGATGATTGCGTCAATTAATATTCCTCTGTTGCAGACATGTATATATTAAATGATCATATATAATGTATTTGTCTATTTGTCCTTTTGCCATGTCACTGCGACACAAGTCCTTCCCTAACTCCAGGCCATAATTTTTCACCTTTTTTTAATGATAATCATTTTGTGACTTCAGAGACTAGTCGAGAGACTCGAGATTGGTCTACCCTAATTCCTAAAGAAATTGTGTCATTAATAGAGAGACAATTTTAAGCATGAATATAACTTTAGAGAGAAATTTGATTTAATAGGTGAAAGAAGAACATTTTTGAATTATTTAAAGGACATTTTTTATTCCAAAAAATGGGTGGTGGGAAAAATTGATACAGTAGACAAAAAGAGGGCAATTTCGAATCATTTTTACTATGTTAATTATTTTTTTTACCCTTTATCGTATAACTCTATATTTATAGTTTTTAATAATTAATGGAGTAATAGATGACTTATTTTTGAATTTTTTCTTTCATTGTCCTCCCAGATACTATTTGAAGCTACGTCATGTGTGCAGAAGGTCACTCTAAATAGACCTACACAATTGAATTGCTTGACTTTTGAAATGGTATGTTGATCATTATTTTTCTTTCTTTCTTTTTTCTATTTTTATTTTAAATTTATTGGGAGAGAGAACAAGAACAATAAATCATACCTTGTCTTAAGCAAAAATAAATAATATATACATTCTTGATTTATATATCCCCAATTTTATTTTTGAATTTTGCAGATTGGTGAATTGTTAAGAACTTTCGAAGAGTATGAAGAAGATCCACAAGTAAGGGCTGTAATAGTTAAGGTAAAGAAGAAGCAAACATGCATGGTGATTTCTATTTGTTCACTTTTTTTTTTTATGTTTTCTTCTGTCATGCCTCAAAATTGGTGAATCGATGTGAAATACGTCTAGTGGGTTCGTTACTCCATCTAGTGAATAATTTTTTTCTCAATCTCTATTTTAATAAGTATATCATCTCTTTGCCAGCTTCAGTAGTCGCAATATACTCAATCCATCTGCAACTTTGACTATCATGATATAGCCCCTGAAAAAGTAAATAGTTATCAATAGTTGATTTTCTATGATCTCACCTATCATATTAGTATCTAGGTAGCCGTTCAAGATTGAATTTGATCCTCCAAAACACAAGCATTCATCTAAGCTTCTTCTCAAATACCGGAGTATCCACTTCACCGTTTCCCAATGCTCTTTCTTAGGATTGTCAGTAGACCTTTTAACAACACAAATTACATGAGAAATATCAGCTAGTACAAACCATTACACACATTAAAAATTCGATGATGGAAGAATACGTATACGTAACAATATCTTCCCTTTGGGATCATTCTTCCTCGAATGATGGTCAAGCTAAATTGAAAGCTGAGAAAGGAGCTAATCTTACTATCTGACTTCTAAACTTACCTTCTAACATAGATGAAGCTGGTTCGTACTATTAACAAGGTTCATGAAAGTTTACAAGGTGACAGATCGTGACATGGTGTTTTGCAGAATCACCATAGGAAGAAAGCTACTATGTCAAATTCTTCAATTCTTGGACGAACGCTTGAAAACCCTCTTTTTCTCTTCTTGAAACTTAGCCCTAAAAGTCTAAGCTTTTAGGAATGTGAAAAATAACTTAGCGTCTGATTAGACCCTTAACTAGGGTGAGGAAAACGTGGTCAAGTCGTGTGGGGTATGGAAAGTATCAAAATACCCCTTTCTCAAACGGATGAAATGCCTTAACTAGAGAGGCTTCACTCAAATGGCCATAACTTCTCACTCCAAACTCAGAATTTAGCAAACTTGGCAATGTTGAAAAAGAAGACTCTGAGACCTTCAGTTTGATAGCTCACGGGTCCTCTAATTCTTTTTATGCTAAAAAGATATAGTCGTTTAAAGTTTACCCAAAACTAAAAACCGACCGAAGTTCGAGGTGTTACATTAGTCATGGTTGGTTTCAGCTTTTTTACCAAACTTGTGACATAAATGTGTTCTATAAATTTAATATAAGCATGTTCAAATTAAAATCATGTATAAATGTTTTTAGAGTTCTTACTTTTTGACACTTAATGTCATCCTTAATTGTTAATTTATTTTTCAATATAGGGAAAAGGAAAAGTATTTTGTGCTGGAGGAGACGTAGTCCGTGTGATACAATTCATGCTACAAGGTAATAACATAAGGATTATTTTCTTTTTTGGTGTGTTGAGTTATGTGATCATGTCTTCATTTATATTTTAATCTTAATTAATTAGATTTTTGCCAGTCATTCTATTATTTTAATAACTGAATATTATCATTCAGATTTTAGCCATTAAGTATTTTTTTTTAATGGTAGAACAACGCAATGAGTTTGAATAGAGGAGAAAAATAGAATGTCCAACAGAGAAAATTCTCTCTAGAAAATCGATGATAAAGCCTAGTTACACCTACGATTCATGGTAACATAGCCGTTGGACAACCTTTTATGGAGGTCATTCTGTTATCAATCTGTGTTTAAAAACCAAGAATTACTGATTTCAATAAACTTTGCAGAAACACGAAGTAACCAAAGTTTAATAAATCAGTAAGAATAGATGAACAGAAATTAATTGACAAAACTAAAATCTGTAAAACGTACCACAATCTGAAAAAACAGAATCAGAAAAGATCAAGCCCACTGAATGCACAGTGTCCCCTTAAGAAAATTATTCCCCTCTAGTATCCGAGGTTTGATTTGGAATATGTCCTCCCAGGATAGAATGATCTCAATCACCAGTGTATTGATACCCAAAACTCTGGTGTCAGCGAACCACTCAACAGCAGTAAAGTACATGAAGAAATTTTTGTGCAGAAGAAATCAGAAAAATTCGTAAGGAATAAGTCTGAAGAATCAATGTATTTATAGGAAAGAGGAACTGGTTCCGAAAGGTTGCAATCCTTTCAGAATCCACACGACCATTCATGAAAGTTTGCAACCTTTCAAACGGTCATGGTTGTTTCTGAAAGTTGCAACCTTTCAGAACAGTCACTTCCAACGGCGGGAAATTCAAATAAAACGGGAAAGATTTAAATAAAACGGGTCTCGCGTAGATCCGAGTCGGGTCGGGTTAATTAACTAATTAATTGAAACGCTTTGGTTAATTAACTAATTAAAACGTTGGCCATTTAATTTAATTAATTAAATAAATAATTAACTAAAATAATTAAAACAAACTTTGTCAAAAAAATAATCTCTCGATCGATCATTATCCGAAGCCGAAGCCGAGCGAGCGACAACGACGACGGCGCGAGGGGGATCCCTCTTTCCAACCCTTTAAACAATTAATAGAAGTGTTTCTATATTTAAACTCTCCTATTTTTATTTCCACCACCGATGAGGGACAAATGTCTTTTCAATAAAGCATAAGAGGACTTTTCAAGTTCTCAACTCTTCAAGTTCCCAACTTTTCAAGTTCCTCTCTTTTCATCTTCCCTCCATTTCCCATTACTCTTGCTACATACCCAACAATACCCCACATTAATGGGGAATGGTTATAACATAAGGAATGCACGGACGAGTGTGTACTTTACAAGCAAGAATCAATTGCATCTGGATAAGTAGGTTTCCCCTTAGACTTTCCGTAGTGAACATATGTCGGATATACTCTGTCAATCAGTAGATGCGATATCTTTGAACCGTCGAGCTTTGGTGTATACCTAGGCAACCATATGCTACACAATTAACCCTTTACCGTTTATGATTCTTACGATTGTGTTCGTTTCAGCCATAAACACCTCCTGGTTTCATGAGTGTATAGAGAATAGGCTTATGACAAAAAACTCTTTTTGAAGTGGCTTACACTTCACACTCACATAGGTGATTTCTAACCGTGGCATCTCGTAGATACACTATTTGGTCAAATCTGCCAAACTTAGCAAATCATTAAAAACTTTAAGCTTTATTAACTCATTAACAAGCCTTAATGTTTTAACTTCGTGAATGGATTGAGTTGATTGACAATGTCGAACCGTCAGTCACAACTTTGTTTTTCTCTTTGAATCTAGCTCTTGGGATCTCCAGTCTGCTAGATAGAGTTACCGTTATGCTTACTTGTCCTAAGCCGTAAACCCATTCCCTTAGATGATCTTTCAACTGCCTCTCTCACTAGGCCTTTTGTTAGTGGATCTGACACATTATCGCTTGACTTCACATAGTCAATTGTGATAATTCCACTAGAGAGCAGTTGTCTTACAGTATTATGTCTCCGTCGTATATGACGAGACTTTCCGTTGTACATAACGCTCCTTGCCCTACCTATTGCTGCTTGACTATCACAATGTATACAAATAGGTCCCACAGGTTTGGGCCAGAATGGAATATCCTCTAAGAAATTCCGGAGCCATTCAGCTTCTTCACCGGCCTTATCTAAGGCAATGAATTCAGATTCCATTGTGGAGCGAGCGATACATGTCTGTTTGGATGATTTCCAAGAGATTGCTCCTCCACCAAGTGTAAACACATAACCAGTTGTGGATTTTACTTCAGTTGACCCGGTGATCCAATTTGCATCACTATATCCTTCATTCACGGCAGGATACTTATTATAATGCAAAGCGTAGTGTTGTGTATGTTTCAAATAACCCAAAACATGTTTCATTGCCATCCAATGAGTTTGATTCAGATTACTAGTGAATAGACTCAGTTTGCTAATATCACATGTTATATCTGGTCGTGTACAATTCATAATATACATCAAACTTCCCAACACTCTGGCATATTCCAATTGAGAGTCACTTTCACCTTCATTCTTTTGAAATGTAAAGCTTAAATCAATTGGAGTTTTGACAACATTGAAATTCAAGTACTTGAACTTATCCAATACTCTTTCAATATAATGAGATTGAGATAATGCTAGTCCCTGAGGAGTTTTGAGAATCCTGATCCCTAAGATAAAATCAGCAACTCTTAAGTCCTTCATATCGAACTTGCTGGACA